ACTAGGCCACACCTCCTGGCCACCCAATTCAGTATGTTCTCTATCTCATACAACCTGCCAAGAGACCAGTGTACAATGGTGGCTGCCCTTGCTGACACGAGTCTTAAAAGGACAGAGCTGGGCCCAATATGTTTGCTAAAAAATACTCCTACCTTTCTTTTAATGACATGTTTTGGTTCAATAAACTTAAATGTTTCCTAAGCCAATTTATAGTTTGAGATTATAAAGCCTCTCACCATGACAGATTCCACTTTTTATTCCCAACCTAAATAAAAGTGAGAAATCAATCTTGACTATGAGAGATGGTATATGGAGGGTAACTGTCAAATACCTATTACTACTACCTTAAACTGAATTAAATGCTTATATTTTCTTTTCTGCTTTATTTTCACAAATGGAGAAAACCCTAATAAGAGCTTCCAAGAGTTGCTCTATTCCTCGTACATTTTTAAGCCTTTCCACTACTAAGCCTCCTAGCAGGGAGGTTCTCAGGAGCTCGGCTTCAAGGTCAAGAAGGGAGCACTACACCCAAAAGACCAAAAGCTAAGCAACACTTCTATCAAGCATGCCTTCAAAATGTTAGAACCATTGTCGTGTAGGTCCAATCACTGTTAAATAATTAATTTTCACTACTAAATATTTAATCAAGGACATACAGAGTGTTCCACTGTTTTATGGCTATATGTGCAGTACAACAGCAGAAGACTGTTACATTTCTACTTCTGTACTTATTTCAAAATGCAGCTCTAGGTCATTTTCAGGCTTGATTGTGCATCAGAATCACCTAGAGGGCTTGTTAAACTGCAGGCTGGCTGCTTCCCGGCCCCAGTTTCTAATTCAGTAGCTCTGGTGTGGGACTGAGAGTCGGCATTTCTGACAAGTTTCCAGGTGGTACTGATGCTACTGGCCCGGGGGTTGCACTCTGAGTCCATGTATTTAGAAGTGATATTCATTTTGAAATAATAGAAAAACAGAATCAAGGCCTGCTGGTATTCTACTTCTTTCCAAATTAGATAACAACAGTGGACATAGATGCCTGACCTTTTAACAACGTTCTCCCTATATTTAATTTTTACTCCTTTAAATTCCAGGATATGTGCATAATTTGAGCTCTGTGCATTTAGGCACAGTAGATCACCGGAAATGATGAAAACCCAGACATCAAGGCACAAGCAGGATGTTCATGAGAACAACAAACTCCATCTTTAGCAGACTGGCCCACCATGCCACCAACAAAAAGGACAAGGGTCTTTTTTACAGCAACCTGCTGTATCTGAAGGTGGGCCTCAGGCAGGCGTAAAGCCTCAGAGAGATTACACAGAAACTTCAGTCTCATGGGTTGTACATTCTAAAATGCTGGATGGAGGTCTTCCAAGCTCATTTTGGAGTCTTGGGAAACCAGTATACAAGAACATCAATGTTTTAAGTGTTTGGCACAATGCTCTGCATATAGTGGACGTGTGTAAATATTTCGGAAGAGAGGGAAGGAATAAAGCAAGGAGGAAGTAGGGAGGGAATGGCAGTGGAAGGGAAGAGGGAAAAAGATGATTTAACTTTCTCTTTCACCTTAAAGAGAGATCAAAATAAAATACAAGTTAAAAAGAAATACACATGAATTTACTCCATTTCTAAAGGTGCAAAGTTTAACTGAAATTTAGCAACAGCAGCAAAGTGATACTATTTATAGTGAACATGCGTTGAGTCCTGAACATTCATCTCGCCCTTCCTTTCTGAGCAGCAGCAACGCAGTTTGGAGAACTGACCTCATTCCAGGAGTGAGCCTTTTCATCTGAGGGTAACAGAGACTGGCGGCTGACCCAATTCTGGTCAATGAGACATGAGAAAAGGTTCCTGGAGGTCTCAATGTTCCTGCTCACTCTCAGAGTGCAATGGAAAGCTGGCTTGTTCAGCCCTGCCCTCTCCCTCCCTCGCCCATGGGCCCTGGACAGCAGTGAATAGGCACAGCCCACGTTGCTGCAGACAGGCAGTTAGTTGTCCCACAGCCCAGAGTATATCAGCTAGAAGCATCCTAACTGATGTGTTAATATAACTAAACACATGACCCTCACAGATACTGAACATACATATTTTTCCTTGCACTTAGGGAAAACATAGAAAATTACCTCTGCCTTTCCGAGCTGTGCTTTCTTCTACCCAATACACTTTCGGAAGACCTTTAAGAAGTCGAAGAAGGTAAGGAACCACAGAATCTTTGTGCTAAAAAACAAAACAAAACATATATATATATATATATATATATATATATATATTTAACAAAATAATACGTGACTGGTAGATTTTTAGCATAGATTAAGCCCAAAGCAAAGCATACCCACATCCTAATCATCTTAAAGGTGGATGTTCACATGACATCGCACCCTTCCTGCTTCCCAGCAGCCTGCACCACAAGTACCTAAGGGAATTACTAAAACCTGGAGCTGAGCGTCTGGCCTGGTTCTGGCCTCCTCTGGGGCCTGGGCCCCCATGAGGGCCTCTGCAGAAGAAGGTATGTATGTGTACACACACTCAAAACTGCCTTCCCTGAGAGGAGCTCTAGAAAGCCCCCAAGCCCTTCAGTGGGGCCCAGGATCAGATTCTGGTGAGAAGCTCACAGCCATAAGCTTCTAAACTTGGTGATGCTTCTGTTGTTTATGGCCCTTGTTTGTTTATTTAATATTCTATTTCATGTTTCCTTTGGCTCCTCTCAAATTGAATAACAGACTTTATAGCCATCATTAGCCAATGAAAACATTACTTTCTTGTAGTTTCCAAACTAGTCAATCAACATATAACTTCATAACCTTCCATGATTGGCTCTTTTGGCTGTTTCCCTATTTATAGATGCTCCAGTTAAAAATCAGGTTAAGTGTGCTCCAGAGAAGGATATTACTTGGAGTTCTAAAATACAGAACAAGCATGTGATGGTTTTGAAAACAAGCAAATCCTATGACACTCCTTCCACTGAAAGGTGGAGTCATCAAATTCACCTCCCCTGGAAAGTGGGCTGCCTTAGTGACTTCCTTCAAGAATATCTAGAGAGTGAACAGTACACATGAGACTGCCTTCCCAGGCTAGTTTAGAGAAGGTTCTCAGGAGACTTGCCCCTTAGAATTCACACATTATGGTGTGACATGGTGACATAGCTCAGGCCACATGGAGAAGACATGTCACAGAGGTGCCCTGGCCAAGGTCCAGCCAACAACCAGGATCACTCCCCTGGACATGAAGTGAATAAGCCTTCGGGTGATTCCAGCCCTCAGCTTTTGAGCCACCCCAGGTGACACCTAATGGAGCAAAAACAATGACTCTTCTGACCTCAGTCTAAATCACAGGTTCACAAGAAAAAAGAAAATTGTTGTGTTAAGCTACCACATTTCAGGTTAGTTTGTCACATGCCACAATTGATAACCAAAAAAAATAGACAACTTTCTTCAGTGAAAACAAAACAACTTCTCTAAAGGATAAGAAGGAGTTGGCTACAACATATGTCCAGGATTATAGTGTCGTAACAGGCACAAAACTCCAAAGGGCCTGCAAAGCATGGGCCCCTGGAGAGGAAGTAGCCTCGGTGCTGTTCCCTATAGAAACTATTATGGCTTTTGTACCAAGTGGTGAGTGAACTATTTTTGCTACTCTGGCCATAGCTGTTGCCAGGGCACCCCACTGACTGGACATGAAGGAGGCCAATGCCATAGCCCATCCTGGATGGAGGTAAGGAACATAAACACAAGGTAGACCATGAGAAAACTGAGAGCCCAGGGGACTGGCGAAGCATGCTGGGCTCCTCTCCTGGGGTCTGTGAGGCCAGGGGGCTTCCCTAGAAGCACAGGCAGACTATATGGCTCAATTGACATCAGCTGTCACCATGGGCCCCGCCAATCCTTGCCCAGAACCCAAATTACACCAAAGGTGATTTGTACTCATCTCTTCCTTGCCACCTCAAAAAGCCTAATATAAGTATTAAGGACTTATAGGTAAATCTATCAAGTAATGTGTTTGCCAAAGATATTTTTAAGTAATACACATTTGAATAGCAGTAGTTTCTTATACAGATTTTTAAAAATTGTTTTCCTCCCCTTATTTTTATATTTAAGTTTAAATAGGACATGGCAAATAGAAAAGTAGAAATAATTTTCTTTCTTTTCATGTATAAATAAATTGGAATAATGAAAATGCAGCTTCTACATCGAATTTTGGTTTTTCAAGTGACCTTGGTCAGATAACCTATTTAATTTTTAAAATATTGATCTAAAATTAAAACGCTTAGTTTTTTCAAATGTATAAACTGTAAAAATTCAAATACCTAACATCTTTACTTTCCTAATATAGCATGATTAAACTTGGAATTAAAAAATGATTCTTGATTTGTAAAGTACAAACTTAAGAGTAAAGTGACTACTGTGGTTTTTTAAAAAGAAAACAAAAGATTCTTGATAATGATAAAAATAAACAGATAAATAAAAGATTGCATAGCCAGTGATCAACCATTTGCTTCAATTGATAAATACTAAAAACAACAATAGCTATACCATTTTCTGGTAGATCTACAACATGGATTTTTAAATCACCTTTAAAAGGCAAATTAACATGTACTCTAAAACTTAATTTATGTCTATCACAGTTTTGAAAAAGATGGCATTATATCAAAATTATCTCAAAAAATACTGTCCTTTCAGAAGGCAAAAATGGTTACTCTGAATCTGACTGACAAGAATTTTACCTGAGATTGAAAATCGAGCCTACTCTAGAGGGCACACAATTACTTCACAAAGAATTTTAACTAACTTTCTGGGGGGAAAAAAATTTTTTTTCTGGCAAAAAATTATGTTTTAACAACATAATTTATTCACACAGTCCAAAAATCAAACTTTCCTAAGAAAGTATACAAGAAGTGCCATTCCCACCTGTTTCACCTACCCTGTCTCACCCACGGCTAACCAACTTTAAATCGATTCTAATGCATTCTTCTAGTCTTCCTTTAGGTAAACATACGCAGATACAAATTTAAATTCTAATTATACCCCCCCTTTAGACTGCAGAAACACTTTTAATTTAGTAAAGACTTACCTGAAGATCAGACTCAATGAGAAAAATGCCCAACGCAATCACCGCATCTCTCCGTCTTTCATCTAATTGGAAGATCCCATGGAAATCTACTGGGCACATACAAAGCAGCTTTTGGACCTAGAAAATAAGACCAAAAGAAAAACAAAAACAAAAAAACAAACCATAGATTAAAAAATTATCACCCACATTCAGAATAAACTAGCACCATAAAAAGCCAGTGAGTCTATATAAACAATAAGTCATTTTTTCCAAATAAATCATAAAAAGGATATCTCCAGCTCCTGAAATAATTTTATACATGCCCCCAAAACACACACTCTGAGGGATCTGGGCAGCAGGTTACAATGATGTCCACACAGGGGAGGTAAAGCACAATCACTAACACCTGCACTTTGGTGTCAGGACAGTCCACAGTCCCTACTCCCCAGTGGGGCCCATATGCAGGTTACCCAAAGTTACCTACAAGCAAAGTGCCTCTCCTTGGGGATCTTTAAAAATCAAATGTGTGGGGGCTGGCCAAGTGGCTCAGTTGGTTAAGAGTTGGCTTAAGAGCGCGAGCTCTGAGCAACAGGGCCGCTGGTTGATTCCCACATGGGCCAGTGACACTGTGCCCGGGCTGAGCTGTCACTGAGCTGCCAACAGGTGGCTGGATGGCTCCAACTGGTATAACAACAAGATTGCCTGTTCGATGGTGGGCTATGCCCACGCGCAACTAAGACTGAACTTGGCACACTGAGCTGCTGCCCGTATGGCTCAGTGGCTACAGCGCGCGCTCTTAACAACAAGGCTGCTGGTTCAACTCCCGCATGGGATGGTGGTTACACCCATCTGCAACTAAGACTGAACTCGGCACCTTGAGCTGAGCTGCCACCTGAATGGCTCTGTGGAGAGAGTGTGCGCTGTTAACAAGGGTGCTGGTTCAACTCCCACATGGGATGATGGCTATGCCTACCCGCAACTAAGATTGAATACAGCACCGTAAGCTTAGAGGCCACAAGCTGCTGATGGGAAGCCAGATGGCGACTGGCGCCCTCTACAACAAAGATTGAACAACAACAACTTGGCTGGTCCCCTGCCCCAATTCCCCAACACTGTTACCCTCCCCCAATTCCCCAAGATAAAATCTTAAAAAAAAAATCAAATGTGTGTAAAGCACTTAGGACTGTGCACAGGACAGAGTAAATGCTCAATAAACAATATCTAGGGCCGGCCGAGTGGCGTATTGGTTAAGAGCTGACTTGGGACACCAGAGGGCCCCAGTTCGGATCCCACATATGAGGGCCAGTGACACTGCCCTCTACAGCTAAGATGCTGAACAACAGCTCAACTTGGAGCTGGGATGCCGTGAGTCACTGGCGACGGCAAAGGCTGCAGCCCCTGCTGCAGTGGGTTGCCATAGGCTACCGTGTGTAGCCAGCAGCCAGTGTGAGCGGCCAGCAGCCGCAGTGAGCAGTGGTCCAGAAGCCAGAGACTGATCTGCCTCACCCGGGAAGAGCGCAATGATGGTGCCAACTTGGGCCAGTGAAGCAACGTCCTCCACAACTAGACTGAAGAACAAAAATGACAGCAACTTGTCTGTTCCCCTTCTCCCAATTCCCTAGCGCTGCTCCCATCCCCCAATTCCCCAATAAAAAAATCTTAAAAAAATAAAAAATAAAATAAAATGAACAATATCTATTATTACTGGATATGCCCTAATAGTGGATAGCAGAAAGCAAGCAGACAATAAATCAGCAACTTACTGAACAAATGAAACAAAATTAGAATTATCTTCAAAACAAACCAACAGTAAATATCTGTCATAAAGAAACTAAAAATCTGGATGCAGAATGACTAGGAAAACAGGTGATGTCAATCTTGAAAATTTCTGCCACAAAGAAGCTCTTGAACAGAACATTTAGACACCTTGCTGTTCAGCTATGGACCCAATGAGAAATCATTCACTGACACTTATATGGTCTTGGTGGGATGTTTTAAAGGCTAAGAAAAGTGTAGAAAACATATCAACATGTTAATAGTTTTGAGAGGCAGGATGACCAGTGGTTTTACATTTCTTCTTTGGGCTTTTTTTTATACTTGCCAAAATATATTCTAGGGGAAATATTATATAATCAACATCTAGTAAGTTAAAATAAAAAATATATATACATATGGGGAGAGGGAAAAATCCATGGGTTTTTTTATTAAATGCTTAGGCAAACGCACATAAAGTAATAACAGGAGAGGAACAGAAATGCTAAATTCCCACTTTTCTTCAGTGTTTCTCCACAAGAAGAATGTGCTTTACAATCAGAGGGTAAAATAAAATACAGAGATCACAGTAAAGTGATCATTTCAGAGGCTCCAGCCTTTTTCACCAGAGAAACACATTATCTTGATGGAAAGAGTAAAGTCTCTCAAGAAGCATCTACATAAATTAGAGATCTAAACAAGGTGGGTTTCTATCAGAATGAGTCAATGACATCTAAAGAATGTTGATTAATGAATCAATGTGGAAACAAGAGGGGAGAGTCTGGGGCCCTGTCAAAGTCCATGTACTCTGGCCTGTCCTGTGCAAATACTTAACATCCTGTTAGAATACAAGAAGACACACTATGCCTCAGACCTGGGAGATGAAGCTAAACGTGCTAGAAGACAGAACAGAGACTCAGAAACTTGTCAGAACTGGCACAACCTGGTTATTAAATACGGAAAAGATGTAATCAAATGTCACACACATAAGACACAATTTTTTTAATATAAATGTAGAATTTAATTTTCAGTATAATGAAGAAAAAAAAAAACAACCCCAACAACTAATTTGTCACCTTGCACAGTAATTTTAACATAAAAGGTTTAAATTTATTTATTTTGCCAACATTTTCTTCATTGTAT